AAGGGGTCCCTATGTCCTCCAGCAGTCTAAGCCTATAGCAGCATATCTATAGAGAGCAAAGCAGAATAATGAACAGTGGTGACTCCTTGGGGGTGCCTGTGTCTGTCTGCCTGGAGCTGTGGAGGCTTCCAGGAGCCAAGCTGACCTACTCTTTGGGGTTCAATCCTGTGAGGTTACAACTCTTGTTACCATTATCTTTGCAATGAAAAGAGTAAAACCCACTGCTTGTCTGGAGAAGTCTGGAATAGAAACATAGAGCTCGATTTAACAGCAGGAACAGGGTTAGAGTAACAGGATCAATAGAATAGAATAGAATAGAAACTCTCTTTATTGTCCCACAATGGGGAAACAGATAAGAAGATTTTTTTTTAGGTAAAGCCTTAGTATAGCCAGTTATTGAGGTTATAAAGATATAAACAGGTCTTTCAGGTATAATTAGGTCTGCTGTCTTAACTATTAAGCCCTTAACACACAGAACACGATTTTGGCTGAGATCCGACAGAATCCTAACAATACCATGACATGACGTAAAGCTTAGCGATCACTGAGAGCGACTGGGGCAGACAGTTTGACGCAATCTCAGCTGTGAGACGCTTCAACTAACATGCCGATCTTTCTATGGCCTTACCCTAATCATTACCAGCACAAACTGGCCCTAAACCCCCTTCATACCAGTTCTCTATCAAATCCAAGGACCCTAAAGTGTTTTACACACATTAGTCATTCACCCACTGATGATGTTGAGCAACACTTTAGCCACAGCTGCTCTGGGGCACACTGACCAAAGCAAGGTCATCATACATCAGTGCTACTGGATTCTTAGACCTCCAACAGCAGGCAAGGCAAGGAAATTGTCATGGCCAAGGTTGCAATGACAGACAAAGACAGAGTGGGGCTCAAACCAGCAACCCACCATAGTTACAGGATGCAGCCATATCCTATGAGCCACTATCACCACAGAAATACTGCCCTGGCACATATAGACAAGGGATTTCTTAACTACCCTCTCTATAGGGTACAGCTGAAGTCAACTGCCAGGACAGGAAAGTTTGAGTGTTTAGACAGCAGTGCTTCCCAGCTGGAATCAATTGGTGATCAGCAAAAGAATCACACAACCCCGAGGCTGCTGCTAGCTGATCCCTTTAATTGCTATTGCCATATTTTCTTGTTTTGCTACAATAAAGGACTTTCTCTTTGTGGTAGATATAGATTTAGTAAGGCTGGGCATACACTGTACGATATTTTCAGTCGTTGTACTCAGCTACAGCTCCAACTGTAAAAAGAAACCACAGGGTTTAAAAGTTCACAGCTAATGATGTATATTCTCACACTGTGCGGCCCAAAAAAACAACACGTTGGACTCACCGCCGAGAGATGACGCTGGTTGAACTCGATAATCTGGAAGTAGAACTCCTTTGTTTGCAAATGCACAGTGCGCAAGGTTCTGGTACACTGGCTCATAGCTCTGCTTTAACAGCAGGATTTGCAAACGAACACCTCACCAGGGTGAATTGAATTTTAAAGATCCTTGATTTTCTCCCGACCTTACGATTATTGATCAGGAGGTGGTCGTGAAAGGCTGACTATTCCTAAGTTACCCCCTGTATACTGCAGGGCGCACCATGAGGCGGAAACTCGCCTGATCCAACAAATTCTTACACGACTGAAGAATCGACCCAAAAAGGGCAAAAACTCATACAGTGTTTGCAGGGTTCAATGTAGACTTTGGATGAATTTGACCAATAAAGGCCTGCAAAGAAAACAGTTGCTATCAGCATCTCTAAACATCTTTATCCTTTTTTTCCAGATGAAGATCTTCCTGAACATTTGTATGTTGATGTTTCATTTACTGTCCAATCAGACTGTCCCAACTGTGTCTTTCATGTCCAGAATCGTCTCCATGTTGATCCCAGCCACCAGCAGGGCCCGTGTACGCAGGACTGGGATTAGCCCGCTGCACCTGGCAGCAGAGCGTAACCGCGATGATGTTCTGGAGATGCTTATCGAGGCGGGCTTTGATGTCAATGCCCAACTGTCAGAGGAGAGAATGCGGCTGTACGAGGACCGCCGCAGCACAGCGCTCTACTTCTCCGTCATCAACAACAACGTAGAGGCTGTTCGCATGCTGCTGAACGCTGGTGCCAACCCGAACCTGGACATGTTCAAACCTCTGATGGTGGCTTCCAGGATGGGCTGCATCCAGACAGTCAAGCTGTTGGTGGAGCACGGCGCCGACATCAACGCAGGCATCCCTACCCACCCCACCACCTTCCCAGCTGTCTTCATGTTCTCCATGAAGTACCTTCCCCTCCTCAAGTACCTGCTTGACCATGGAGGCCACGCCCTCCCCTGCTTTGACTGTGTTTATGGTAACCGGGCTCATCCACCCATAAAAACCAATCGATCAAACTGGGACAACGACTCGGACCAAATTCTGGCAGAGGTGCCTCTACGGACGGGCGTTCAGGTGAGCGTACCGATTATAACCAGGTGGTCAGGTGTTAATTTGGTATAAAGGAGGAGATCACCTAGATTTTGATTATGTAGATGGCAGATTCTGATCTTTTAAACTCTGTGGTTTGATTTTAAGGTTTAACATGTGACCGTACCTGTTCAGTTGACAGATTGAGCACCTGCTTCTAGGTTTCAGTACTAACAGTTGTAAGTAAAACAGCAAATGATTGACTGATTGGTATAATAGTTGGTTACTTGACGGATTGTTCCACAGTTCTGTGAGATGATCTCTGCCCCAAGTATCTCTCGATGGGCGGGGCCTATCATTGATGTCCTGCTGGACTACGTTGGTCATGTGACGCTTTGCTCCAGACTGATGGAACACCTGGACAGTTACTCTGGGTGGAGTGGAATCAAAGAGAAAGCAGGTAATTTCACTTCAGTTTATTTCCATTGCACCAATTCACAGCACATCTCAAGACACCTTCCAGTTCACCAGATCATCCAGTCACATTGATCATTTCCAGTCTAACCAGTCCTCGTGTGTTCCAGCTCCCCCCCGGCCGCTGCTGCACCTCTGCAGGTTGCAGATTCTGCAGCTGGTTGGACACAGAAAGCTGAAGAAGCTGCCGCTTCCTGGAGGTCTGATCCGCTTCCTGAAACACCAAGACTTGCCTCTGGATGACGAAGGCTGAACCAGACAACCGTTGAGCTGCAGATGTTGCATCATTTAGATTTCTTCCTGCCTCAATCTGTTCACATGGTTTCCGTTTCTAGAGGATAATTCAGCACCTGGAACAACGATAGAAACGCCATCTGGGACACTTCCAAGATGAACTACACAGGAAACAGGATTAGAATCAGAATCAACCCAAACTACAGCACTGGAGGAGGAGGAGGAGGAGGAGGAGGAGGAGTGAGTGCTGGCTTCCATCAGACTCTAACATGGACTCTTCTTGGTCGGAACACAGTTTGAACTGATGATCTCACTGCCATGTTTCAATGGGACATTAATTAGTTGCTGTTGTCATGGAAACGGAACAGATGATGTCATGTTTTGAAGTGTCATTAAACTGTTTTTACTGCAGTAGTGTGAGACTTTAATGGCAGCAGGCGTTGATCACTGATCGTTAATCTGTGAGGGTCAATGACCTCCCATTAGCACCTCCCTGAAGACGAGATGAAGCCTCCATGATGGCGGCAGAACTGAGGCGACCTCATCTCTGCTCTCTGAAGGAGGATCCTCCACCTGTTCAGCTTCAAGCTGGACGATGAGTGAGACTGAAGCAGAAACTATCCGACCTGTTCAAGCTTTAGAAACACATCAGGGCTTTTTAAATGATTTTATTCAGAATGGGGAACGGTAGGAAGCAGAGGGCTGATTAGATCGCAGAGACTCTTTCTAAGTATCCAGGACACCTGATCCATCAGAGGCACAGTGAAAGGACCCACCTAGACCACCTAAAGTGGTTTAGAGCAGTGGTCACAGACTCCAGTCCTGGAGAGCCGGTTTCCTGACACACCTGACTCCAACGTTTGCTCATTAAAGCCGGCGTACACTCTGCGATTTTCTTCAATCGTTGCACGCAGCTGCTGCTCACACTGTACGACTAACCGCAGGTTTTAGTCGTACAGTGTGAGCTCACAGCTTACGATTTATGTTCAGGCCGACGCTCTGATGCGATCTACCTGCTCTCACTGTACGTCTAAAACCCAGGTGGGACTCAGCTCGCAGTGAGATGACGCTACTCCGACTCGTCTATCTGGAAGCCAAACCAGTAGAAGAGGAACATGAAGCTCACTAGAGTGAAACGCGCTGCCTTGGATATTTGGGCAATTTTGTGCTGAAAGCCCTAAAAAGAAAAGGAGACGACGTATTTGGACAAAGACATGGCTGAGCTAACGAGGCTACTACGGTCTGTCAGTTTTACAGAGAGAACTCATCTGAAAGGAAGAATAAAAAGAAGGATCCTTTGTGCCCTGAGCGATTTACCCACGACGGTCAGGAGAAAATTAAACATGTTTGATTTTCTCCTGACCTCTTGATTCCTGATTGGGAGGTGATCGTGAGAGGCTGATCGCCCCTCGTAACCCTGGGTACACTACACGACTCATGACTAGGCTGAAAGTCGGCCCAATCGATTCTCGCACGATTGGAAAATCGTGCGAGAATCGTGGGAAAAAGTACAAACTTCTGAAAGTTCTTTAAATCCTTCTGCCACAACAATCCTGCCCCCTTGATAAAAGACCAATCACATTCACTTTATTCACTAGTCTAAAGTCAGCAAAACTCAGCTTGGCTACAGTACCCAAAACTGGCGAACACTCTGGCGTCGAGGTAGTGGCAGTCAGCAGCTTAAGAACGCTCCGTTAACGAGGAAACCATCAGCAGGTGAGTGAGGAGGCGGACCAGAACCAGACGCCTCCTGGTGGAGAAAGGAAGACAAACACAGAAACACAAACACCCAGACA